ATAAAAGTTATTCATTGTAGATGTCGTGTTTTGAAAACTGTTTGGCGGATATTCAATAAAATAAGCTCGTATTTCGTTGATTTATGAACGTTCACGATTGCGTTGGGTGTGGCGCCATGTTCATTAAGCCCTCATAGCTCAGTGGCCTAGAGCGTCGCTCTTGTAAAGCGAAGGCCCCAGGTTCAAATCCTGGTGGGGGCATTTTTTTAAGAATATTTCTTAATGCTTCGATTTCATCGTTCAATAAAAATGTTTTATTTTTTGCTTAAAATGCATTGAAAAATCTACAATAAAAACACTCAAATTTTGTTTGTAAGCTTATTGGATAAATGATTAGTCAGTTTCGTTCAAATATTCAATACTATCTTTAAGTATCATTTCACTTAGACACTATTATTTAAATTCTGATATTCAAAAATATTTAATTGAAAACTTCAGGAAAGTAATATATATGCTTAATTTACTTCTATCATTTTACAACTAGATATTGATCAACATAATGTTCCATATTTAATCTTCGACTAAGGATGCTACAATGCATCATACAATAATCGATGATTTCATATGAATAAATACATCATCTACAGTTCATGTATAAAGTTTACATAGGAAACGTGTTAGCATCATTACTATAATATATTCTACTGCTTAGAATATGTATTTGCTTGATGACTAATATTATCTTTAACATATCATTTTTCTCATCCATGTTTGATAGGTAATTTCAAAAGTCTACCATCATTAATTCTACACATTATATTTATATATTATAGAAAAAAAGTCATTCAGTTGTGCATATAGACAAGTTCATAACCGTTTATTTTCTGTTGATGTATCGAGTATTTCGTCGTTTTTTTTTCTCAATAACAAAACTTAAATCAATTTCAATACACAGTTGAATATACAAACATTCGGTAGGTTTGTTTTTAATAGACCAATATATAAAGATATATGTTACATTTGCTGATCGATGTAATTCAATATCAAATTAACATTTTTCGATTTTTCTTAAGATCTACGATTGTCGATCACTTGGAGGTGTTATTATTGTTGCTATATTATTCAATTTTAAATTTGAGTGGTTTCTCCGTTGTGCTTTTTTACGTCGTGTAAATAACAACATTGAAATAAATGTTAATATTGGATATGATTGTAAAATAGTTGTATGAATAATAATCATAACTGTTTGAAGATCTGGTGAAAAAAGAGATACATCAACTATTATACTTAAATTATAAAATGATATTGGACAAAAACAAAGACATGACCAAATAACATAAATACTCATTTGTATAACAATTTTTTGTAAAGCAGACCATTCTGGTCTTCGATTAAACATTGTTCGTCGTTGATATAAACGAAATAATAAATAAATTGTTGAAATAATCATTACTAATTGTGGTATAAAAAAACTTATTATAAGCCATGGAATCATATAAAGAAAACTTGTTGTATAACAAGGAATACATTGTATATATGAACATGTTGGTATTAATGTAAAAAGTATTGCTATAATATACGAGTAAACTAAAATACATGTAACTGGTAATAATTGACGTCGCCATGTTAATAAACCATTTTTATGAAATATTAAAAAATGTCTTTCGATACTTGCATATGCTAATGATGTAAGCATACCAATATTTACTGATAAATAATGAATAGTTGATATTTTACAAAGAGAAGTAGGATATTGAAATATCTTTAAATAATGACCTATCAAAAAAGTAGGTGATCGAATCATTGATGAAAGTAAACAATAGATTAACATGAAATAAAACTAAATTCAATTATTAAGAATATTTTTTT